GGGGGTATTTAAGAAATGCATGTGCATGAAAAACCACGAATATGGAAAATATTTTCTTTTTCTGTTATAAACTATACATTTGTGATAACCGAAAAAACGTCGTATTTACATTCGACGGTAAGCAGTTAAAATTTCGTCTATATTTTTTGGTATTTTCAATAGTTTATTTTCTTTTTATTAATTCCTCCTCTGGTGACTCAGTGACAAGTTTGAGAGCTTATAACACAAAAAGTATTGGTTCAATCCTTGCAGAGAACACAACACAGATAGCACATTGTTTAGCTTTAGGATAAAACAAGCAAACAATTTTGTGATTTGAAGAGAAGTTCGATTGTAGATTTCTCTACAGTTAACATTAACGGGCCATTTTAACATAGTACTTCTTTATTATTACATCTCTTACGGACCATCTTAATACAGTATTTAATTATTATTATATCCCTTACGGATCATCTCAACAAATAATTTTGTTATTACTACACCATTTACAAGCCATTTTAACATATAATTTTGTTATTACTACGTCCCTTACGGACTATGGCAACACAAAATTTCGTTATTACTACCCCCTTTATGGACAATGTTAACACAGATTTTTGTTATTATTACACCTCTTACATGCCAGTTTAACCAAGTATTTACTATTATTACACCCCTCACGCACCAGTTTAAACACAGTATATTTCGTTATTCACCCCTTACGGGCCAGTTTAAAAAAGTATTTAGGTATTATTACAACCATTATAGACCAGTTTAAACAAAATAATTCGTTATTATTACATCCCTTACGTACCAATCGCAGTATTTTACTATTATTATAACCATTACGGGCCATTTTAACACAGTATTTCGTTATTAGTACACTACTTACGGGCCACTTTAACACAGCTTTCGTTGTTATCAATTCACCTTACAGGTGAGTTTAACACAGTATTTCATTATTATAGAACCCGGTACGAGTCAATTTAACCAAGTATTTCACTATCATTACACCCCTTACGGGCTAGTTTAATCAAGTATTTCGTTATTATTACAATAATTACGGACTATATTAAAAAGGTATTTCGTTATTATTACATTATATACCCCAGTGGAACAGCGGTATGTCTGCGGACTTATAACTGAATTTCGATACCAGTGGTGAGAAGAGCACAGATAGCTCATTGTGCAGCTTTGTGTTTAACTTCAAACAAACAAACACTATTTACCCGTGTGTAAAAAGGATAGTGTACCTTCTGAAACTGCTTGGGTTTTCAAGTTTCTGAAGAAGGATAGTGTACCTTCTGAAACTGCTTGGGTTTTCAAGTTTCTGAAGAAGGATAGTGTACCTTCTGAAACTGTATATTATATTGTTGTTGTACTGGTTGTCATAATGATGATGTCTTTACATGGAACCAACGTATACTTGTTAACTAGTGACAAGACCATTGTCATCTTAGCTAATCACAAGGTGAGAAGGAATTAGAGTTACATTAAATCTTTGTTTTTGCAGTCATTGCTGGTGATAAATCTGGAGAAATTAAAGTAGGAGTTATATATTACTCCATTCATTACAAAACAAGAAAAACGATAATCCAAGCAGTTTTGTAAAGGAGTCTTTCCTTTCACAGAAATCCAATAATTTTAAAAGTTTTATAAGGTATCCTTCCCAAAAAACCTGATAACTCGAGCAGTCTCTTAATGTAGACTTTCTTTCCACAGAAACCTGATAACCCAAGCAGTTTCAGAAGGTAGACCTTCTTTCCACAAAAACCTGATAACCCAATTGTCATTGTACGTAAAGCAAAAGCGTAACTTTGTTTTACGCTTCGGTTTTTGTGCGAAAATAAAATCTAACCATGATGACCAGATCCAATATCCTGCTCAGGTGTCAAACTTACGTCTGAAGCTGTAACTTTCAATTATATATATATATATAGAGAGAGATTTATTTATATAAGTGTGTATGAGTGAGTGAGCTATAATTACAGCTCTGCGATCCCTTCCGAAATGATTATTATTGACAGCGTAAAATGGATTGCTCTTATGGAATGCTCCTGCATCCTGTCTGGTTTTCGAGACGATTTTTTGGACTCTGTGCGGAGTTCTTCAACACCGTTTTAAAATTACTAATATAAATACGTTGCATATATGTAGGATGTAATCGGTGTATGTACAAAACAACACAGTGAAATCAAGGTACCAAAGACTGATTATTTAAAACGTCTTTTTTCAAGACGAAGTGATATTGTACACTGCCTTTTGAAGATGAAATCTTTCGCGAATTTTCCTGCTTACCCGTACTAACAGATATCAAAACTTGGAATATAAACTGTTGTTTGTTTAGAGTTTTCGCGCAAAGCTACAAAAGGACTACCTGTGCATAGCCATCCCTCATTTTAACTGATAGATTAGAAGGTTTGGTTTACATTTCGCGCAAAGCTACATGAGGGTTATCTGCGCTAGCCGTCTTTAATTTAGCAGTGAAAGACTTGAGGGAAGGCAGCTAGTCATCCTCACCCACCACCAACTCTTGGACTACTATTTTACCAAATAATAGGTATTGACTGCACATAATAACTCCTCCACGGCTGAAGGGGCGAGAATGTTTGGTGGAACGGGTATTCGAACCCTCAGAGATTAGAGGGAAGGCAGCTAGAAAATAGCACTTACAGACAACTCTTGAGCTACTCTTCTCTGACCGAATAGTAGCTATGGCTATGGCAGTTATTTTGATTTGAACCTAATTATTTCAGAAGAAACAATTAATAAGTAGGGGTGCTCGAAGATTAAGTAATCCTCCTTCACCCCGCACGTGGACTAGAGGTATGGGCTTGAATTGAAGTATAAACAAAGAAAATGATATAAACAAGCTATGTAGAAATCATAAACATAAATAAACATAAACGGCCGATATCGGACAGATGATCCATAAGGGCGGCGGAGATCTATAAATCTTATGCTAAGAATTTGATGTGGGGGGGGGACGCGAGTACCCCGAGAAAACCCACTTTCACTGGTAACGATCAATCCGTTACCAGTGCCCTGTTAGCGAGAAGAAATAAGTTGGAAAGGCAAAGTGAAGTCTGGTGCTGGGGGTTGATTAAAGTTTAAACGAGTTATGGATTCTTCTGATGTTTGCCAGGGTTTTAATGGGGTTCAGGTTCAAGTTCCGGTATGGCTGTGACGACGTGAAGTCCTCGGTGTCGCTGGTAAGTGGGCGGAGAGCTGGGAAAGGTTCGCCGGGTAAGTCATGGTCGGGGGGGGGGATGTTGATTACAAGAGCGTTGGGTGAGTTTGACGACGAGGGTGCAGAAAGTGGGACTGGGCTGAGGAGCGGGTTGCTGGTTTGTCGATATGCATCGTTGGTTACTGGTAGGATTGGCGGCTGGGTACCCTTTCCCTTCTTGTAGTCTTGTTTTGCGTTTCTGTCTCAGATGTGGTCGAAGTTTGAGTTGCATGGTCAAATGTGATAGGTTGGGTGGTAGAGTTCTGGTAGGCGGCGGTTGTCGTTCGGATGTTGTGACACATGGCTTGGGGGGGGGGTGAGCTGGTAAAGTTAGGGGTGGGCGAGGCTTCCGATATGATTTCTCTGCTTTGAAATGGTAGAATTCAAGAGAGCAGCCGTGGGTAAGGATGAAGTCTGCAGTTAGTTTGGAAGTCGTGACAACTTTCATGAAATAAGAGGGTGAACCTGATTTCTTCGATATGATTCGGTGGACTGCGTGGATCGTTGAATTAGTTGTAGTTTCGAGGGCTTGATGGATTTCTTCTGATGTAAAGGATATGTGGACGTTTCTTAGAAATGCTGTGTGAAGACTGGCGTTGCTTTTGGGGGGTTGGCATGTGACGGGTGGGTTTGAAGACCAGGGGCGGCAAAGATCTTCGGGTGTCCTGGGCTGGAGGAGTATACCTCCCCTGCGGAGACGACGGGTGCGCTCAGGAAATACGCTGGGTTGGGGGCTTGTAACTACGGGTAAAGTTGGCGGTGTCCAGAGGCGAGAAATCGAGCGGTAGTCCGTCGATAATTACCGGCGGCGTTGGATAGGGGACAGTCTGCTTGCTGGCAGGAATCATGATACGACGAGTGCTAAAACGTGAGTGACGACGTTACGCATCTATGAGGGACCGAATAGTAGGATTTGACCGTCACTCTTATTACGCACCCACGGCCCCATGGGCAAAACTCATTTTTACGGCAACGGGGAGCGAACTGTGAAACCTCAGATCAAAGTCCAGGAAAGCTAACCACTAGGCCACGCTCAGCTACAAAGTTGTTAAAGTGTTTAAAGGAATATATTTGTTTACAGCAATGCTGTAGTACATCTATTTTAATTTATTTTTGGTGTATTAAAATTAGTAGTATGGAAATGTAGAAAATATCCTTATTGAACAAAGTATATTGTGTTCATAGAAACATTCAAATTTCCTAGGAATTCTTGTTGAATCTACTGAGCACACAGCCATATTTACACGTTGAAATTGAATGCGATAAGTTAATTGTTTTCAATGAAGCGATTAATTCAAATTACATTTGAGTTATCAGTGCATTCTTCGTGTAAAGAAAATACATCCACTCTAGCACTAAATATATTTAGGTTCTAGCTAATTAACATATGGTTGATGGAATTTTCTGTTGCAAAGGCGTCAATTAAAGTATAACCACATTGTTATACAATAATATAGAGAGGTTGAATACGTTATATTAAAACGATTTTGGAGCCTCACCAAGTCGTTACTGTCCATGTCTACTCATGGTCTTTCTAACAGTTGTGTAACTTAATAATAGCCCTGCAGTGTAGTTCCCAGTGAAAAAGGTTCCATCGTAAAGTTTTCAACCCCAAAGCCTACCCTTCATCCTTATTGCTTTCCATAATATATCTAGTGTAGGAGGAGGATTGTCAGCTTTTTTGTATGGACCAGAATCTTTACAGTAGTTGTCTGCAGAACACTTCCAGGAAGGCTTGTGCTACTCTCTCCGTCTCTATCTTCAGCAGTGCTATGGCTTCTAGGTTGGACAGTCGACCACTGTCAGCACGTACCAGTTACCCTTGTCAGATACAGGTATTAGCGGTCTGATCAATTCCACAGCTATTCTGCTGAATGGCTATTCTTTGAAGGCATCTCACCTAGTGGCACCTTGGGTACCACCCCTCTAGGTACGGTCATTTTGCAGATATCACATTATCTGCAGAATCTGGTCATATCTCCGATGACCCCTGGCCAATGGAAGTTGCTGGCGATTCTGTCTGCCATCTCTTTTGCTCCCAGGTGCCCTCCCACAATCGACTCGTGAACAAAATTCATCACTTAGTTGGTACTATGATCTTTTAAAATTCCCCAGTAGAACTGCCTTGATAGATCCGGTACAGCACTCCCTTCTGGTCCTCTACTCTGTGCGTACCATTCTCCTTTATCTTGTGCTCGAATCTCTCCCGGGCACTGTCCCAAAGTTTCTGAAGAGAAGGGTCTTTCTTCTGTGCTTCCCTCAGTTCCTGTAAACCTATATTAGGGATGTCACCTTTCGGGACTTGCAGGGGCGTGATGTCTTGTTTGGTTTTCTTTTCTTTAGTTCTTGTGGTGACTGCAGTTGTCTCATCAGTCTCCTTTCTGTCAGGTTCCTCCAAATTTCTACTACCTAGTATATTGCCAATCACAAAGTCGTCGATGGGTGCCTTCATACACATCGCATCAAGGTATCCCACGTAGTATGGAGTGTCCACCTATATTCTTGCTATGGGAAACTTTCTCATTGTCCCATCAGTCAGCACACATAGATGTACCTTGTCCATCATCTGTTCATCAGATACTAAACTGGTTCTCACTGCTGCAATGCTGCATCCAGTGTATCATAGGACTCACTTTATTGTCCCCAACATAGCCTTCACCTACTAGCATGTTGTGGATTTCCTTCTTGGTTATGTTAAGTACTGTTTGTTGCATAAGAAATGTGAATGGCTTTTGCCACTTACTTTTTTGTTAGTGGATTCTCACCTTTTATAAGACACCGAACTTGATCTTACCACATATAGGGTAAGACTTGTTGCAGGTCTCTTTCTGGATGGTTCTGGTATCTCAATTTGAACCAGTCTTTTGTTTTCCAATGTCATTAGCGATCTGAACACACCTTTACAATCTGAGTGCATGATTACTTTGTGTCAGAAAGGGCTGTTACATATTTTTGTTTTTCAGATGTGGTCACTTTTGGGTGGCATCAAGTTACCTACTACCACCAATCTATGTCAAAATGTAGTTCTAATACATTCCATTCCATCGCGACTTTATACCGGCTGTGGATGTCACATGACTTGCTGATTAGTATAAACTGGGTGAATGGTTCACCTAAGGGTTAATGAGATCAGAATCAGGGTGAATGAGAATGATGGAGTGAATGAGTATCATCAATTATATAACAATTTCAAGAGCAAAAAATTCATTAGTTATTATTATTTATTCTAGTTGTAGTTTGATAAATACATTTATTTTCTCTTTATTTTATTTTGTATTCATTGTTTGTTTGTTTGTTTTGAATTTCGCGCAAAGCTACACGAGAGCTTTCTGTGCTAGCCGTCCCTAATTCAATAGTGAAAGACTAGAGGGAAGGCCACCCACCGCCAACTCTTGGGCTACTCTTTTACCAACGAATAGTGGGATTGACCGTCACATAATAACGCCCTCACGGCTGAAAAGGCGAGCATGTTTGGTGTTACGGGAATTCGAACCCGCGACCTTCAGATTGCGAGTCGAGCGCCCTAACCACCTGGCCATGCCGGGCCCTGTATTCATTGTAGTTGTAGTTTGATGTATATTTAAGTCATAATAACGAAATTTGCATTTTAAGTTAGTACTTGTTTTGTCTTTTTCTCGAACTTGAGTAAGTGAGCTGTTATGAAAAACTTATAGGGGTGAATGATATTGGAAAAGGTTGAGAAGCAGTGGTATGAAATCTTTATAATATACTCTTCCTTCTGTATATGGATACAATAATTAAGGAATGCAAACCAAATGTAATATTTTACTTAGTATCTATTGCATCTATTCCAACATGTCCTCAGAATCAGATTATTTACCACTTTTGTTTTTGTTTTTTTAGTTTGAGCCAGTTAAACATAACGAGACAAGTACTGAACCTTAAAACTAATTTCGTTTTTTACTTGTTTTTCTTCCGAGTTTCGACCTTTAATTTGCTCCCCGTATGACAGAACTTTAATGAAGCTTACGAGATCTGACGAAAGCTGTTGATTGATTCAGAGGTGTTGATTCAATCCATCGCTAGAGAAAAGAAGGTTAGAATAGAACGCTGTGTAGGCGCCTGGAAATACGTTATTAAGATGTTTTTGATTAACACAGAAGCAAATACTTTGTTTGGATTTTTTTTACGTTTCAAATTATTAGACTTTAAAAGAAAGTATCTTATAATAAGCCAGCAAACTTACTGACAAAATCAAAATATTGGCTAATATTATAAGAATGAACTAATTCAGGTAATCTTCAAGTAATTAAGCAAGTAAAAAGTAGGTAAGAGAGTAAAATGATGAGACTTATTAGAAGTAAAGATATTTAAGGAAACTTGAGCTAATGAAATGTTGAGAGCAACTTGAGTTAGTAATATATTGAGAACAGACTTGTCTTCAAACGACTGAGAGAAACTTTAGGTCAAAATATTGAGAGCTTGAGTTAATGATAGGTCGAGAAAAATTTGACTTCAAAAACTGAGAGAAACGTAAAATCAAAATTATGAAAAAACTTGAGTTAGTGATAAAAATACTTATTAAAAAATTCAAGAGACATTTACGCTGTTTCGAAAAACATGAATCAAACTGAGACAAAGATGTTGATGTCGTAAGAGTCCACGAATTGGCAGATATCTTTAAAGAGGCAAGTTTTAATATATTAAGGAAAACGAACGTTTTAGATCTACTGATTCAATGAACAGTTGACAAATAGTGAAATGTAAAAACTTGAATTGAGAAAAAGTTTGTGGAAGAACATGTGTCTACAAAATGTTGAGGTAGTGTCAACCTCTGAAATGTTGAAAAATAGGCCTCTGATGAATGGAAAGCGTAATTTATGTTTACCAAATATTGAGGTAGTAATAACCTGCGAAATGCTGAAAGATAGAACTAGACTTCTGACATGTGGAAAGTGTAACTTACTGACTTTATAGAAACAATGAACACGGACGGAGATGCAAGATATAACTAGGGAGTTTACTGACAACAGAAACAAACGCAGCGAGATGCTGAGAAATAGATAAACTTATATTGAAGTGGAAAATTAACCTGCAACATTTCGAGAGATGTAAATAGGCCAATTAAATGTAAAAGGAACAAAGATAACAACATGACGAAAACAAATAAATCGATGAAAAACTGAAAACATGACGAAGCCAGTGAGTTGTAAAATAGACAACAACTCCAAGTCAGCTAAGTGATTTAAGAACCAATTAACTATATTGTGTAGATGTTTGTATTTCACCATGCTCATTTTGCAACGGTTTTAAACAAAGTAGAGAAAAGTTCGTAGAACAATTTAAAAACAGTTTTTCACGATTTTTCAATCTTTTAAAGTACAGACATAAACACCAATGAATCTATAAGATGGTCCCCAACGTTACAAGGTTTTGATCGATTTTCATCTCCCTTAGTTGTTGTTATATGGAGGGAAAGAGCGAAGCATGTGTATGTAACACCTCGCGCTTTAGCTTCCTTGTCTGATAGTGTCATCTTCTTTTTTCTCTTACAAAACTAGTGTCAAGACAAGGAAGAATCCTTGAAATGTGGTAGATAGAGATATAATTAATGCCATTTAAAACTTACTCAAACAATTGACACGCTGCCCGTGACAGATGCACTGTCAGCTTTTGTTATTACTCTTTTCAGAGCAAAAGTTACGTTAACTTATTGTGTAATTTAACGTTCTAAACACTCATTGTCTACGAACTATTGGATTCTGAAGAGTATAGTGCTAATTCAATGAAGCATTCTATCCGGTTGTTAACCGCGCACTTTGTGTTTACTGTATTATCAATAAACAACTAACTCTGATCTAAGGTTGAAATAAACACCACTGTCATATAGTTACTCAATTAAGCTTCATCGACAAATGTCGAGCACGAAACACGTGCTAGTGATTATATCAATGTTATTTCCCCTCAGTTATATAGATAGAAATGGTGATGATTCGCTTTTAATCTGTTTTAGCCTACACTAGTAACGTTTATTGTTTTGTTTTTACTGTTCAAAGATTTTGAAAATGCAAATCAGAGAGTGACGTAACAGCTACAGTCATATAAAGCCACGAAGGAATGACAAGTATCATGTATTTTGATACTGTCTGGTGTTACAATATGATGCCACCGAAAACTGATCGTTTTTGGGATGGATATGTAACAGCCCTTAAAGAACCCAAAATTTTCAAACACTTAAATCATAAAGATATGTTCAGATCAAGGATTTAAAAATTGCAAAACGAGGATATTCTTCGTAGCCAATGGCATTAGAAAAAAATGGAATATGGATCAACTAAGGGCCCCAGGACCATCTAAAAAAAAACTTGTAACAAGTAGTACTCCAGCCGTGGTAAGCAAAGTGCAGCGTTTTGTAACAGGTGAGAATCCTCGAACACAGAAGTCAGTGGGAAAAGCTATCCGTCTGCCCTAAGCAACAGTGCGTAATATAATGAAGAAGGATCTTAGTCTGTAAAAGCAACAAAAGTCACGTGTACACAAGTTACTTCCATGACATATCCCTTCAACTGTCGCGTGCCTTAAGCAGCTGGAAAATGAAACTGGTATTAATTTTATTCTATACGAAGCCATATCGGTCAAGTCGGCGGACGCAGCGTCAATGAGTTTCTGGGCGATGGAACTGTTGAAGTAGGCGCTGGGAAATAGTCGTCCTCGTACACTAGACGAACTATGGAAATATGCACGGAGTAGTGGTGTGCTTTGACCATGGCAGCTTTACAACGGAATCTTTTGCGATGGAAACTACGCTGCAAGGCTACTGTCAAGATGCACGGACGTCAAATA